AGAGAGAGAGAGAGAGAGAGAGAGAGAGAGAGAGAGAGAGAGAGAGAGAGAGAGAGAGAGAGAGAGAGAGAGAGAGAGAGAGGACTTGATGGAGTTCATTTGTGATTTGTGCAGAAACGTGTAAGTTTGTCCCTTTTCCTTCTTTATCATTCCTGGCAAGTCATGGCGACGAGAGTAGTATTGCGATCTTGGGATGTTCTGCACTTGGAAATGGTTGCATCTAACTTTGAATACACTCTCGTTAAACCACCACTACCTCTGCCACTCTTGGGAAACATGGGAAAATTCAAAACTGGCAGTTTTCCCATTTTTTCGGAACTTTTCGGGGGTGGGACGAGGCTCGGCGGTTGGGCCTTGTGGGGCCCTTCGAAAAACAAAAAGAAAAACAAAAGAAAATGTCGGGGAAGTCCGTGCACCAAGTTGTGCTCACACCAAAACTCACACGTTCGTATCTAACCGCTATAGTGGCCTGCCAGGGAGGCACGGCACAGTCCACGGGCTGCTGACACTTTGTGGAGGAGGGCATGCCCACACCATTACTTTGCAGAATGTATGAACCCGCTTTCCCGCCCTAAGTCCAGTTTCAAAAAAAAAAATTGCTCTTCCTTCTTTCGTGGACCTGACACCCTTGCCGTAACGCCCTCACTGGGGGTATACTCACATAACGACTTTGGGCTAGGTATCGACCAAGAAAAAGAAGACCCAAACGGGTGTTTGTTTTTTTTTGGCTGCCAGCAGGTCGGTTTTTGAAAGTCTGGCCGTGCTTTTTTCTTTTCTTTTCTTTTCAGGAGAGTACCAGGAAAAAAAAAAAAAAACGGAACCCAGGCTCGACAAAACTCGGTGCACAGTGAAAATCAGGGTCGGCAAAAACAGGCTCGGAGGTAGTGGTGGCTTAAGCCGCCAGTACACGGACCCAGCCTTGCAGAAAATTGCGAGTTGCCAACTCCCAACTTTTTGGGCCTCACGGCTAGCGGACCACATTGGCTGGCGGCACAAGCCAAAAAAGAAAAAGTGTCCTTCGGGACATCCGTTAAAATTGGAACGATACAGAGAAGATTAGCATGGCCCCTGCGCAAGGATGACACGCATAAATCGAGAAATGGTCCAATTTTTTTCGTGCGACCTGGCTGAACCTTGATGGTAAGAGTTCATCATCAAGGTAAGGAAGAATGGTAGTCGCAGACATGAACAAGGATCCGACCTAATACCAGCCTTCTGTGGCTGTGACTTGCCAGTGGAAGTAGTGTGGATCTGACAAAAAAAGAAAAAAGAAAAAAGAAAAAAGAAAAAGCGTGCCGATGGCGGTTTGGAAAAGCTTGGCGCACAGTGCAGCGCCTCCAGGCCCGGGTGTACTGGTGGTTTAAATAATTGCACGAGAGAAGAGAGGAGGGGGGATGCAGGTCATCATGCCTGCCACGAGTTATTATGCAATGTGCATTCACGAGCTTTAGCTATCTGTTTTCATTTTTCCAAAGCAAAATCGTTTTGGTGATTGATCTGGCCCGCCCTTGAGCGTTGGGGTATGCCCTGTCTCTTATACACATCTAGATGTGTATAAGAGACAGGCACACTACCTACCTACCACTACTCCTAATTGTGGGCATACGGGGAACCCCGTAGCAGCCAGAACCGTGTTCACGAGAGAACATGCGGGGGCTGCTCCCGCCCTGCAGGTGGGCGATACCAGCTAGGGGACAGCCGTTAGCATCAGGGACCATGCCAACAGGACCAATCCCTGTGCCTCCCCTCAGGTCCCCTCCCCTATGAACATCAGCAGACTGCTAAATGCCAATCGGGGGATCCAGTGGTCTATCTCTAGGTGGCGGGCGCCAAGCATGCCGAGGAAGATACATGAGGACAATGGGGATTGAACCCACGACCTCCTGAATGCCACTTGCGAGCCTTACCAACTGAGTTAGGCCGCCGCTGGATTCACAGTAAGTTTCGCCTTTGCATTCAAGGATTTTTAATTTTTTTTTGGAGTTTCTGTCTGGTCTCTCATTTTTCGAAGCAATGTCCTCAGTGCTCACAGTCACTGTTTGGGCATGTTGTGTCTTGAGAGGGATTCAACAAAGAGAGATTCTCCCCCCTTCCCCCCCACCTCTAAAGGAGAGTCCAAACTTACCCCTGGGATCCTCTCGCCGGGGGTGAGCTGCCTTATGCTGACATCAAGAGTCCCCACCACCAACTTCACTGCATTGACAATGTCGTCAGAGACCCGCTCCTCAGTCCTCGCACAGTCGGTCGCTTCATTTCCAGTCTCTGCTCCTTCCGATTTCACAAGGTTGGCATGCGAATTGCTGCTCTGTAGAATCTGCACCCAAATCACATATCAGATGTTCCGCCCCCCCCCCCCCCCCCCCACATACACACAGACACTCCTCAGCTCAAAATCTCCTGCAACCCAAACAGTGACTGGCCTCTTGTGCTACCGTCTTCACCCGAATAGAACGCCCAGTCATTATACCCGTATTTGGTGCAATTTTCAGTCCAGATACAGCTATAATGACCGGACGTTCTATTTGGGTGAAGACGGTAGTCTAGAGTAGTCTGCTCCAGGGTGAGTATCGAGAACCCTGAGAAGTTCGTCTTTCCTCTGTTCTGTTCTTTGGCCCTCCACTTCCCTCCTCTACCCGTTCTCCCTCCCCCACTCTGCTACTCGCAAATGCATACGAATGAGCATCATTAAGAAAACAGACAGAATATTTGCCGAAGATATGAAAAAAAATGAACAGGTGTTATGAACTTGGTTGTCTGACGATTTTTACCGCCACTCACACACAGACAATCTCATACACGCCCATACATGCATAAGAGAAGGGGGAGAGGAGACAGAGTCCACACTGCACACRGATCAGAGTAGGCAGCGGAATACAGCTATGCACAGATGGGGAGAAGACACACAGTGTTTCTCTCTCTCTGACAAACTCCCAACAACCAATCACAATTAGAACCTGCGAGGATAACAATTGAAATGACACTGATGATGAGCCACTCACACAATTATCGTAACAGAGTTTGTTCCAGTATCTCGCCACTCTCCGAACTCACACCCCACTCAGGAAATAGAAGAATACCGAGCGCAGGTAATTACGAAAGATAAACATGAAGTACGGTGATGTCGGGCGAGAAGACCCAACACCGTGTTTCTGCCGGTCGCCCGTCCGGCGTCATCAGCAGTCGTACCTAGCGCAGGATAGTAAAACTAAAATTCTACGCGTACTTGTACCTACGGAAGTCCACAAAACACTAGTACCCAGGTCAATCACCAAGTAGTACTACTAAAGGTTCCCTGGTAACAGGTCACTCTTCAAAACCCTACAGGCACAAAAAGCGAATTCAAACATACGCCCAGACGTATCAAACGAACGTTCATGGCTCAAGCCCTGTACGACCAAGCTCGTATCTGGTACTGCCTAAAATTTCTACCTTCTCCGCATTACCAAATAACAAGTCATAAGTTCAAAACAGTGGTACCAATGGACCATATCCGGATCTACACACATCGGGAGCTAACAGAGGCATTGATGCCCTCTCAGTCAGCGCCAATCAACACGTCGTAAGTTCGAACCAGGAGTACCGAGGAACTACATCCAAACCCACACACAGTATGAACTACCGGAGATAGTAGTGCCCTCGTCCCAACCTGAGCTACCACTTCCAGTTGGTGAAACACAGAACCCAATGTCTCCAACAGTTGTTCATTATAGCAGAGAAGTTCCTAAGGCAGCTATCAAAATAGACATCTGGGAAACCCCTAATCTGTAATTCGAATTTCAAAGTCAACAGAAAGCAGGCTTCAGCACCTGGCATTGTTGTAAGCTTCCTAGCCCTATGCAGGCATGCTGTAATAATGGACATCTTCTGCTGTTTGTCCGTGTATGAGACATAGTCCTGCAGGTTTTGGAACAGCACACCTTGTTCAATCACAAACCGTTCATTTTTATGGGTTGCAGCACACAGTCTTCTGCATGGGTCTCTGAAAACCTTGACCACGCATCATGACCCGTGAAGTTTAAAGTGTTCTGATGATGAAGCCTGTGTTTCGCTATTATTGTGAAAGGTAAACCACCAGTTCCTCTCCCAGGAAACTTCTTGTTGCGAGTTTGTATGCAACCGTGATTTTCGGGAGTTCTACCCGACCTCTCTTGGCTCACAGCACCACCTAATAAGAAAAAAATAATGTGTGGACCCGTTTCGTTCGTTTTTGTCATCCAGCACAAACCCGCCAAGGCCAAAAGAGACCCGGAGGTATTGGTGTTTCACATTTCAATGGCGAACACCAAATAATGATGATGCCCCCAAGACAATGGCGGCTGTCAAGTTCTCAAGGCATGGGCGGCTGGAGCACTCTTTCAACCCCATGCATCGTATCTGCCCCTAGATCTTCCCCCGAATACAACGTACGGTCAGTATTGATGTACCTAGACTGAAAGATGCCTCAAATACAGCTCTAATGACCGTATGTTGTATTCGGGGGAAGAAGGTAGATCTTCCCCCTCTCCCCTGCCCCTGAAGACCGTTAGGAGGTAGTTGGTTGTCCAGGGTTGAGAGTGACAACTATCCAATCTGACCAAAAACATAACAACGAGTCAAATTGTATGGTTCGCGTAAAAATCTGATGGGAGGGCGTGGACTGCATTCCAAAATGGAAATGTGTCATTGTGAGCATTTCCATTTCCAATTTTCCACATAATTGACGACCATCCATCATCCCACCATAACCACGAACAATCATCACCCCCCTCTCCCCTCGAAACAAAAGAAGCAAAAAAAAGACTTACCGCAACAATGCATGCGCACTTTAGAAACCGGCCATGCTTTGTCACAGTCCTCTTCTTCAAGGCACTAAACTCCTGCACACCGAAGTCCATCCAGCGAAAGAATAAAGGGTTCAAAACTTAGTGATGTAAGGACCTGCAAAAACACAGACTGAGAACACTGATGATTTCTGAGTTTTGCCACTGGAATGTATGCCTTGCTGAGATTCACCAGTTCTGATGAGTTTTCTGTGTGTGTGCGTGCTTGCTGGTCCGTGTGCCTGTCTGAGTGTTTGTCGGCTTGAGTGGTGTGTGACCTGCTAGCGCACTTGTTTGCGTGGGAGGCCCGCAGGGCCGGTACTGACCTGTGGCCGTAACTTTGGGGGTTCAAGTGGGGAAAAACACTCATGTGGCCGAAGGGTACACTCCAAGAGCGTAGTTTCGGTACCAGTAGCACTTGAGTAGCGGAAGGCCGAGCGGAAGAAGACAAAAAGTTAGTACCTTTAGGGGTAGAAGTCCGGTAGGTAGAGTCTAGGGCCTGTAGTTGATATCAGGTCTGCAATGACGTTTGCCTCCGAAAGGGCCACTCCTACTTTACCAGAAGCAGAAGCAGGGCCATACTTTGTCCACGTTGATGGGACTTAGCGTTATGTACCTGATTGAACTTCCATGCACAAGGAATTCACATGTTCCCATACTGCCTCGCCACACCACTCGCCAAATGCACAAAAAACCAACGTAGTGCCTCTCCGCACAACTCACCAAATGCACAAAAAGACCAATACTATGGTGGTGTATAGCTCCATGTTTAGCGGAAGATTCATTCATTCTCATTTTGGACATTTGGTGACTGATGCGGCAAGGCCCTTGGCCTCTGCTTGTGGCGGAAGAGAGCCAGCAGACTTTCAGTAGCGCCTCGAATGCGACGAACAAAAACGGGCCCGCACCTGCACTTTCCGCAACGAAACCCTAAGGAACTAAAAAACAAAAACAACGGAATTTGGTGAGAGAAAAACGGCAAAAAAGAAAAAAAGAAAAAAACAAGTCTTTTGACAAACACTTCGCCTATGCTGCACACTGTCCTGAGAACAAACAAACGGCAACACACAAAAACAGGAAAAGAACTCCCTTCCAAGGGTGTTGTAGAGGCCAAGGACCAGACCCACGGTGATTGCTGGTAGCGGCAGCCAATGGTTGTCCTGACAGGATAGGCCACCTACCCTACCCATCCCCACGTTAATACTCCCAGCGCACCCCCTGTCCCTACTATCCTACCTCAGTGTGACGAGCACTCAGGACCATCACCCTACCAATATCGAGGGTGAGTTGGACCAGACAGCAGTGACAAGCACCCAGGCTGGGCCAACCTCCCAGCCCTAACGGAAGCGGAAGTGGACGAACCTTGCCATACGGGAACTTCGGACGCCAGGCTCATGCAATCTTCTACAGGCCCAATAGTACAACGCCGAACCCGCCGTTTTAAGGATTTGTTGTTCGATAAACGAAAATCAACAGCTCAAATGGACAATTTTTGGGAACTGCTACGTGTCATTTAGATAGGCCTGGAAACATTTCAGCGAAAACCACCGTCTGCACAAAAAACTCAGCCGACGATCTCAAAATCCAAAGGCCACCAGTCCATGAAAATCACATATATTGGCGCGCAGCATAAGGGCTTGTGTTAGATTTGTGTTAGATTTGATAGTCGGTAAGTGTTGCAAAGCCTGTTTGCTGTTTGAACTTTGAAGCCTAAAGGTCTAAGGGGTTCCTCGTAGGCCTTTTTTTTACTTTTTTTTTTTTTCCCAAAACAAATTGTCCCTTCTATTCTGGGTGGCTCAGTCCAGTTGATCATCACCTGCAAGCATGTTTTTACATCTGAAAGGAGGAAGGGGGGAGAGCAGACAAGACAGAGGACCAGCCCGTCCCTTGTGACCCTAGACGCCTGGCAAGGGGGCCACTGTTTTGGGGCAACCTTCCCCTCTATCCTTAGCCTTTCGGGGGGCTGCCCTACTGGCCGGGAGGCTTACTGGCAGCACTCAGTCACGCAGTAGGGCAGCCCTCGGATAGGCAGGGTGCGGGGGGGGTTGCTCCCAACAGTTCCTCAGGCCGCTTGGCATCCTGTTGCCTGTTTCTGATATCCCTCATCGCACATAGACCCTACATTACCAATGTCTAAAGCCCAAAGCCCATATCTGGTTCCAGACTATTCCCCCTTTTTTTTACTTTTTTCAAAGTTTCTTTTGAAAAACTTTCCTTGGTAAAATGTCGCCTTGAACCCAGGCATATCATGCACAGAGCTCACCACATATTAAATATTATTAATACATTATTAACATTAAACAATAAAAATTCAATTTTTTTCAAAAGCAATGGCTTCCGACTTCTTTAAATTCAGCCATAAATATCTTCCAGACATCACCCCTGCCAAAGTCATGCGCTTTTTTTAAAGAATTCCTTCAATTTATTGATTTCTTCCTGGCAGCGTGCCATGCACGAACCATGAGGACCCTACAAAACACATGCATGTTGAGACACACATCATGCACTGCTGCCATGGCGTCAACTGCTACCGTTGTCCCCCAAACACAACACACCCGATCATGAATCTATGCAAGCTATATTTACGGTCCGATAGAGTCATCATGATGGAAGACGGTAACCCATACAGATAATACTTCGTTATTTCCTTATTCCTGCAAACATAATGCCTGGCCATTATGCTGTATTGAATGCAACTTTCAGGCCAGATACAGATATATAATTGACTCCGTGTTGTGCTCAGGAAAAGCATGCAGGTAGGTAGGTTTCAGGCTCTCTGTAATTGATCGAGTGCAGGGGATGAAAAACGAAATGGAGCTGACAGGGTACCCCTTCTCTGTGGCTAAATGGTATACACACGTAACTGTCGATAAGTGGATTATGAGTTCAAATCCTGATGATACAATAACATTGGGTGGTTTCCACCTATACTAAAAAAAAAATGATCCCAGTAAAAGAAATGAAAAAAAGTTGACGGCAATGGTTTCGGGAGGGAGAAGGGAAAGGGAAAGGAGAGGAGAGGGGAAAGGGAGAAAGGGTGGGAGAAGGGATGGAAGAGTTCTCACTTGTTCTGCAAACCGCTTCTTGAAGCTGTCAATATACCTGCTGAAAATGTGCGAGCCCGAAACGCACAACAAACACAAGAAGCTTCAATACTTCACCTATACATCTGAGCCCGTATAGAGTACTATAGACTGAAATGATGAAATCCCTTTTTCGCTGTACCATATCGCAAGTGCGTTATGCAACTGGAAATAGTCCGCTTATATCTGAAAGGACACAACTAGCCCAGTCAGAGCACAACTGTGCATCCACACGTCAAGGAGCACATCATGCCTGGGGCATCTGCACTTTCAGAATCATTCAGACCAGGCTTGTCTCTTGTTTACCAGTCCTCCGTGAGTGAACATTATTGTATCCATTTGATCCTGTCAGGACTTGAACTCATGAGCTCAACGATTGCCTGTGTCTACCATTCAGCCAACAGGGCTGGGTTGTACTTATAAACTCTATAAATTCTAAAGTGGGTCTTGCAAAACACCCACGATGATGCCCAGTGTGACTTGCCTGGGGCCAGCCGGTTGGTCCCCTCGGTCGGTCAAGCCTGATGCGAATGAGCAGCTCTGGGTGCAACCAATTTCCAAAGGTTGGTCCCACCCTGCCGGTGTGTCAAAGGCTGTACACCCCAACCGTCACACAGCCCAGCCGTTCAGTCCATGGCCATTCTGAAGGACAGGTGGGAGACAGCGGATTGCTTGGCCCGGTCCTCTCCCCCTGTCAGCCCCATGTCCCTCCCATTCCTGCTCAATGACTACTCCTCCGTCCACCTCCTCCGCTACATCCTTCACCTCCGCCCCCTCATCCACCTTCTCATATGTGGAGCCATCTCGTCACACCCATTCCTTCCGGTTCCCCATCCCTCCGCTCCCTTACCCAGCTGTCAGCGCCTCCCTACTCCTCCGTCCACCTC